CTTCTGAAGATTTATGAGATTAACTAATCTAATTTGTTACTCTAGATATGTACTTATATGTTGAGTCTTTGTTGACTCTTTGTTTCATATAGTATTTTAAAGAATGTTGAGTCTTTGTTGACTCTTTGTTTCATATAGTATTTTAAAGAATGTTGAGTCTTTGTTGACTCTTTGTTTCATATAGTATTTTAAAGAATGTTGAGTCTTTGTTGACTGATTGTTGTTTTTTGTGCAGAAAGGTGCTTTATGTTCTGATACTAGTATTGGTCAAGGGGGTACTACTACATGGAAGGTGCTTCAATACACACTTGCTTACAACAATGGATTGTATTTTTGTGCAGAAAGGTGCTTTATGCTGAGTCTTTATGTTCTGATACTAGTATTGACTGGTTGTTGTTTTTTGTCCATGGAACGATTATTTGTATGACATTAAATTTTATGCAATGGATTGTATTTTTTGTATATGATATTTTATTTTCTATTATGAGACATTAAATAAAAATTTAATTTGAAAATTAGTAAATCTATAAATATTTTTTTTAAACATTTAAAATTATGATACGCAAAAATGTGTGTCATCTTCATTTATGATATGGCCTTTCTTGACAGGGGTTTTCTTGATACGCATTGCGTGTCATTAACTCGCGCGTCGTAAGGTTACAACAGGTGTATGCGTGTCATCTTCTTTTATGACAGGGCCTTCCTTGATACGCATTGCGTGTCATAAACGTGCGTCGTAATTGCGCGTCATCTCTCTTTATGACAGGGTCTTCCTTGACGCACATTTGCATGTCGTCTGAGCCTTTTACGACGCGCAATGAGCGTCGTAAAAGGCTGTTTTTCTAGTAGTGAATTATCCGCCTCCATGGTTATGACCTACTTAATACTTCTGTGATATAAGTTTCTGAACTGATAAAAACTTTGAAACTTTTAACTATGATGAAAAGAAACAATTTATGACAAGTACAACACATGTAGAAGATTGCTTATTGAAAAATGAAACCCCTTCACTACTACAAAAAGCCACATAGGACCCGGTTTTAAGCCTAATATAACCCGGTTTTCAACCGGGTTCCTTATAAGCGAGTCCTAAGTTGAAATCCTGATATAACCCGGTTGTAAAACCGGGTCATATTTCCATAATAAAGACCGGTTTCATCACAAAAAACCGGGGTTTTTCTTCTAACCCATCACCGATTTTTTCCACCATAAAGGCCGGTTTTCATATAAGCAACTGGGTTCTACTATGTAGTTAGATTTTTTTTGAAACGGATATTGCAAACCTTATATAACCCAGATTCATTGCAACCGGGTCATTTAACTGCCTTTTTTTTATATTTCTTTTATTTAATTTATAGACCTATTACTAAATACAATATGATATTCTTTTTTTTTTTTTTTTTTTTTTTGCATTCAACATGTTCTGTAGGTATAAATGAAAAATACTGTAAATTTGCATAGACTAAAAAACCATCTATAGTAGATTGATAGAAACAACATCAAAGAAAAAACATGTCTCAGAATAAAAATCCATCATTTTGGTAATTTTCTACTACATAAAACTTCCATAAAAACTTAAAAAAGAACATTCATGATTCAATTGTAGAGAGATTGTCCAAGACATCAAAATCAGCTCTATATTCTAAAAAACAAACACAACAATAATGAGATTTCCTATAAAAGCATTAGATCATTAAACCAAAAGTAGAATGCTATGAAAATTAATAACTAACCCTATATGCTTTTTTAAAGGACCGTGTCATTTATATAATGATTCAAAAATTCCCTAGCCCACGTAGCTACGATCGAAACCAACATCTTTTCCTCAAAAGGAGTGTCATCATTCCAAAGAATATTGGACTCTATGAGAAATAAAAGTTAAACTATTAATTAACAAAACAGAAAGTTATTGCAAATTTACAATTAAACCAATGAAAAGATATTTAAAAAGTACTTATTTTATTTGGAAATCCATATTGTTTGGTCAAGACAAAGTCAAACATCCATCTCATTAAGTAATGTCCACTCTCTAAAACACCTAGTTGTTGGTTACACTGAAAATGTAATAGAAAGAAAACATTATTCAGACAAAAAAACATCAATCTGTTTGGATGTAAGTGATATAAACTACCTCAGCGAGAATCCATCCAATTGAAGTTTATATGTCTTTTTCATATATCGTGAAAGCCCTAAAATGATAAAAATCAATAGTATGGTGTTCAAATTTATTACAAACTAATAATTTTTAGACTATACTAATAAATTTCTTACATGTCCACATGCTTTTTGAGCAAGCAGTAAGTGTCGAGCGTTTCTACAGGCTTCTTAAGAGAATCCAAAACGTACACTGTGCGATTGCGGGGACAGATCACCAAGAGAACCCAATGCTTACTAGTAATTATTAAGAATGTTAGTATAAATGAACAAATAAAACAAATAAATAATAATAAAGATATAAATTTATGGTACTTTTGCAAATATGGTGCAATGAGAAACAATTTTCCATGATGAAGACGCATCGCATCAACAAGATAACTGACAACACCATCAAGATTTTTTTAGCAAGCTTCCCCTAGTATCTTATATGTGTTTAAGAAAGCACATTTGTTTACACATGTTCGAACCATTGAATGTAGAATCCTACAAAAAAATGAGTTACAGTCAGCTAAAATCTTTGAAGCTACCTAATCATTATGGCAACACATAATAATTTTTGAGGTACTTACATCTGCCAAGTTGTTATAATGGAAATATCTGTTGTTTGTTTTCTCAACAAGCGAAAGTAATCTTCACATGTAACTGAAAAATGATATGACCCAACTTGAAAAATCCTAGAATCAACTTTGATGTTAACCATTGGGTTAGTCTTCAAATGATCACGAAGAAACTCAATCGGTCTTACTTTGTTGGTTGTTTGGCTAGGCATGTTCTTCGTACCACCCCATGCACTTGCTGGTATCAAACTTGTGGTCGCATTTTTTTGCTTTGTTCATTGTTCCTATATTAGTAAGCCATTTGATTTATCTCACACACTTATACTTGATATGTATACAATAGCTAAAAAAGTAAAGAAAAATGAAGATGTACATGGATGAGTACAATTGCAATCTGTGGCCATTGAATTACAGTACCGACCGCCTGGTGTAGCTTATTAACTTCTTGTATCTTGATAGGAACATGAACATTTTTAAAATCTTCATCAATTTTGTCTATTAAAACCTTCTTTCACGAAGAGGAAGTGAGTGGATTAAACCATTATCATACGGAAAGACCAGCCATTTGGCACATTTTTTGTTCATTTCCCCATATGGTAACACCAATTCGCATTGAGTAGGCACCTGCAAACATATAGCAGAAAATGTATTACTATTTTTTATAATTGACATATTATCATGAATTATATCAATATTGACATGTGTATCACTTTCTATGACTAACCCGATACTTTATTAAGCACAATAACAATTAGAAACTACAAGATTTAGAAACAAAAAAATATGTTTTTGTATATTTTTGAAAAATGAAAATGCAACTTTTTGATTGGATACACATAACTATAAAAAGTATAAAATTTCAAAAATGGTAACACTAATAAACTACCAAAACATAGGATTGGTGATTTTTTTTATTAAAACAACATATAATCCTAAAATATAATAGAAAGTTGTATATTACCTTTATCGTATCCAAAGCATCTAATATCGATGTTGAGCTACGACTATTTTTTTGAACTGCCTCATCCGGGACTTGGTTCCTAGGCTCTTGCACCCCAACCATTGCAAGGAAGGTTAGGAGTGGTATGCCTATGGTTGTGGTAGTAGATTTTTTGCAGGTATACTTATTTAATTTTTACTTTTATTCCCTAAATTGAGATAAATCTCAAAACTCCAACTCGTGCTAACAAGTCTTAACCAAAAGACTATTGATTGTACTGCATGTAAAAGAAACTCCCCTACATAGTCGCCTAACGCAAGTATTGTCCTTGTTAATACACATACAATTGCATATGTAAAACAGCTAATAACTCAAGTCTTCTTTCAAACATTTTTATCTCTTTTTGAAAAGCATTTTTAACCCCTGTTCTAGTTATATATGCATTGTTTCCAAGTATAAGTAGAAACATTTTATGGTGCATGTTAGATTGCTCGGTTGGACCATTTTATTCAAAGAACCAGGGATCAAGTCCGTTGATAGGTTACAATACATCATTCTACTTAAAAAAAAATGAGATTTAACACTTATTAATAAAAATAATATATTTTTAAACACAAGTTAAATTTCTTTTTTGATGAGCCACTATTTAGTTTGTGCCCCAGCCCAAAACATTCTAAAACCTGTGACTAAATATTCATCTGATGTATGGGATAAAACAGTGGTTGTTTATCTGTGTAGTGTTTCTTTCTTTAAAACAAAGTTTTTTTTTTTTTCTGAATTTGACAATTCACTAATAACATCATGTGTTTATTATTCTAACTTAGTAATTGAGTTGAATTACATAAAAGGGTAAAGCTAACAGGAGTAGGATTAGAGATATTTACCTAGACTTAAGGAAGAAGAATATTTGTAATCCACTTCTTTAAATCTGTTTTGTTGATTTTCTGATTAATACTTTGAAACTATGAATCTTGAACCATTCTGATTCTTGAATTTCTGATGAGTACTGGTTGATTATTGATGAATACTTTGTTGAATATCATGATTTGGTATTTTGATTCTTACAAATTGTGATGATCTTGTTGAATCTACATTGTTGAATATCTTGATTCTTGGTAACTGATTGGGGAATAACTTTGATGTAGAGAAAAAGATGCACTAAAGAATGCTTTAAAAGAAACAAAAGAAGGATGCAGTAACAGAAGTAAAATAAGATTTGAAAGTAATCAAAATTTGTTGATATTTTATTGTAATCACCAAGTTACTTGGCAAGTTAACGTCAGAATTTTAGAAAGTAAAATAAGAAAAGCTAAATGTCAACTTCAAGAAACAATAAAGTAAAAGGTGTATTACTTGATTGTCTTGTTTGGAAGGAGAAGCAATAAGAAGATAAAAAAAAATGGTATATTTCAAGAACAAAGAAAGTCACACCCCTAATACACATCATCTTTTCTTTACATCAATATTGTTGAGGACATGACCAATTATAGATTTAATGAAGAGTTAAACTCTATTACAAACACTATCAATATATGTTACTCTTCCTTCCATTCCACGCCATTGTTTATAAATCTTTATTCCTATTTGCATATGTAAGAAGACATAATCCCCAACTTCCCTGTTTGAGTAACTAGCTGTCAATATGGTTTTTCTTTTCTTTTGAACCAGGTTGATGTCTTGGTGATCCTTAATTAGAGTTGATATATGACATTGACGTCATTTTCTATAACAGAAAAAAGTAACAAACAAAAGTACAACGCTAGTAACATTTATCGAAACCCAAGACAATAACTGTTGTATCTCCTCATTAACATATATAATATAATATAATATACCTCATTATTAGAAAAAAGTTTCTAAAGAATAAAACCGGCCCCACTGCTACTGGTAATGCCACGTCTGAGGCGTCCCTTCCGGAGGCGTTCTGCAATGATGAACGCAAGCTCAAGAGACTGAGACGCATTGAGGCGTGGGTCACAGTGGGTGTGGTAACGTGAGCTCAGATCATTGTAAGTGATGGTTCGTGAACCACCAACGCATTCAGTCACATTCTGCCCAGTCATTTCTAGATGCACACCACCCGGGTAGCTTCCTTCTTGCTCATGCACATCAAAGAACGCTGTCACCTCCGCCTGCAAAACACCCCACAAGGTGTAAAAAACGTTAAATCGAGAAAGTGTTATTCATGTATTTAGCACTTTTCTAAAACCCATTTGGAGAAGTAAACGGAATGAAGATTGGAAAATGGAAACATGAGAATGAAGAAACATACCCTGATTGCATCGAAAGACCGAGTCTTGAGTCCCACGGGAGCTTTAATGGTGTTACCATGCATCGGGTCACTAACCCAAGTCACGATTTGACCCGCACCACGAACTGCCCTGATTAGATGAGGAAGCTTCACTCTCGTGTTATCAGCCCCCATTCTTGAAATAATCGTAATCCTCCCAGCCTTGTTATCAGGATTCAAGATCTCAATCAACTTCACCAGTTCACTAGGATCCATCTTATCACTCACCTGCATCACAAAAACATCATCTTTTCAACAACAACAAGAAAAAGATATGAAATTTTGACCAAATATATATGTCTATATATACCTTGATCCCAAGAGGGTTGGCAACACCACGTAAAAACTCAACATGAGCACCATCAAGTTGTCGAGTGCGTTCCCCTACCCAAACCATGTGAGCCGAGCAATCATAATAAAGACCCGATGTAGAATCCTCCCTCGTGAGTGCTTGTTCATATGGCAAAAGCAAACACTCATGTGAGGTCCAAAACGGTGTCGTGGTCATGATTGGGTGATCGATGGTGAGTCCAGCAGCAGCCATGAATCCCATCGCTTCATCAACTCGGTGAGCCAATTCCCGATACCTATCTCCCTGTTCACTATGCACTGTGAAATCAAGATTCCATTGGTTAACTCTCTGCATAGCGGCATAACCTCCGGTGGCAAAAGCTCTTAAGATGTTAAGCGTCGAGACCGATTGAGTGTAAGCCTGAATCATTCTGTTGGGATCCGGGATTCTTGATTTTTCGTCAAATGAATCGCCGTTTACGTTGTCACCTCTGTAACTTGGTAACTTCACTCCATCTTTCTCCTCGAAGGAATCTGATCGGGGTTTCGCAAATTGGCCAGCCATTCTCCCGACCTGATTATGAAACCAACAATTAAGAGATTGCAACGAATTAAAGAGTAATTGAAGTTTCGATTTTGAGATTTTGTACCTTGATGACGGGCATTTGACCACCGAACATAAGGACGACACCCATCTGTAAGAGTAGTCGGAAAGTATCTCTGATGTTATCGGTTTTGAATTCTTTGAAACTCTCGGCGCAATCACCGCCTTGAAGCAAGAAAGCATCGCCACGAGCGGCTTCGCCTAACCGCTCCTCCAGTTTCCGAGCCTCGCCGGCGAACACAATTGGAGGGTAAGATTCTAGCGTTTTCAGAACGGATTCCAGTTGTTCTTTGTCGGGGTAATCTGGGATTTGGAGGGCTGGTTTTGATTTCCAGCTGTCGGGACTCCATCTCGCCGGGAGCTTTTCGGTGGCACGGACGGCAGAGATTGGTTTCTGTTTGGGAGTTTTAAAAATTGGGACTGATTTGAGAAGTCGGTCGTGGTGGTGGGGTTGTGGTTTGAGGAGGGAGATGGAGGAGAAAGAGGCCGCTCCGGCGTTACCTATGGTCGTCATGACGGCGATTGTCAACTGAAGTAACGGAATATGATAGGGTCGTTCGTTCTGGTGGCAGATGGTTACATGCTGCGGACGAATTGCAGGGCCCTATATGGCATTTGCTAATTAGACACGTATCAAAAGACTAGCCACCGATTATTTTTGTCTACGTATGGAAACTTTGTATTTTACTATTTTAATAACACGGTGATACTTATAAATTTTTATTAAATTAGGATAAAAATTTGGTTCTTGTCGTTTTCAAAAACTTTTTGATGGGGTCTAAAAAGTTTTTAATTTGCATGGAAGGTTCAAAATCAAGGTTTTTTTGGGTTTTTTATCCAAAAAAAACTTAAAAAGACGATTATGCCCTTTTATTTTCTTTTTTGTATTTTTTATAAGTATTCTAATGTTGTTTTAATTAAAAAATAAAGAAAAAAGAAAAAGAATCTCTCTCTCTCTCTCTCTCTCTCTCTCTCTCTCTCTCTCTCTCTCTCTCTCTCTCTCTCTCTCTCTCTCTCTCTCTCTCTCTCTCTCTCTCTCTCTCTCTCTCTCTCTCTCTCTCTCTCTCTCTCTCTCTCTCTTTCTCTCTCTTCACAATTAATATGGAAATAAAGTATAATTAAGATTGTTCTGAAGTGTAATTCGTTCTTCAACTGGATCAAAATCAATTGTCGGTCCATTGAAGAAGGTTTGGGAATAAGAAAAAAATACGATACCCACTTCTTCTTCTTGATCATATCATAGATGGAAATCAAAATCAAACCTACAACAAATCAAAATCAAACCTCACCATCCCACTGGTCAATACAACCACCAAAAATTTGTTAGCTCCACCTCGAGGTTCTTACCCACCTGCTCCAAGCCTTTAAGGTGTTGATTTATAGTCCCAATCTGAACTGAAACAAAAGTTCATACGGAGGTCGTCGATCAGAGAGGAGAGATTCAGAAGGTGCTTGAAATTAAAGTGGATCGAATCTCCCTATTCTAATAAAAGAATAAGTTTAATCTCATATTGACAAGTGTCATGCAATTAGAACCCCTCATTAATGTTATATATCATTTATCATGCCACTTGTCAACCTATTAATTATTCATTTCAAATTTCAAATTTTAAGTTTCTCACTCTAATTTTATTAAATTAATAATTGATAATTGATTCTTCATTTTAAATTTCAAAATTTATAATTTCTCCCTTTAATTATATTAAATTAATAACATTAGATTAAAAATTAAAATAAAATTAATATAAATTATAAAATGATGTAACTCCACGTATTTATTTAAATCAATGATTATAATTTTATACAACTAAAAAAATATCTCTTAAGTAATAATTTATTAATGATTTTGATTTTTTAATACGAAAGTTTAATTAATTTTATAACCGTGGTTATCACGGGTTATAAACTAGTTTATAGATAAAACGAGCTCATATCTATTCTCTCTGTACCACCGGCAGCGACGCCTTGCGAGAGAAGATGAATACCACTGGTCGCCGGAGCTCTCAATACACTCAGATGCAGGTTTGAGGGCATAGATCTATGCCACACGTTGTCCCCACGACCTTCGACGAGCACCTTTGATCGCGTTTTGTAACGAACACCCATTTCAGATGGAGAACGAGATGAGAGAGGGACAGGAAGAAAGTGGAGGAGATTAGAGTTGGAGTTTTGGGTGTCGGAAATGCAAATGTACAGTGGTGGCTGAAGAGGGGTATAACGAAGATCAAATGCATCGATTAAGATGGAGTTACAGTTCCGAAAGTAGGGTTATTGACAGCTCCGGTGGTTTCGATGGCGGCGAGAATGAATCCACAAGTGGTTCAATTTTGAGATATCAATTTTCTTTTGAGAGATGGTGTTCGGGAGTGTGTGTGCGTGTGTGTGTGTGTGAGAGAGAGAGAGAGAGAGAAAAAAAGACGAAGAGAGAGAAACAGAGAGAGAGGGTGGGGTGGGGATACTTTTTTCTTTTTTCTTTATTTTTAATTAAAACAATATTAGAATAGTTATAAAAAATATAAAAAAGAAAATAAAAGGGCATAATCATCTTTTTAAGTTTTTTGGACCAAAAACCCCGAAAAAACCTTGATTTTAGACCTTCCATGCAAGTTGGAAACTTTTTGAACCCCATCCAAAGGTTTTTGAAAACCACAAGAACTAAATTTGTAGTTTTATCTTAAATTAGTTAATATTATTAGGAAACCATTTAAGCATGTTTGTATTTGGACTGGACACTTGTTTGTATTTGGATGGGACACTGTTATTGGCGATCATATTATATCCGAAACCCATAATCAAATTCTTGGATATAATCTAACTATTTCAATTGAATCATTAGTAAAAATATGGTATGGTTTTTAATTTTTGTTAACCCAATACATATGGTTCAATTATATTTTTCATCAAAAACCAAACTATTATAAACCGAACTGAACTATGAATATTAATAATGTTTTTAATATAATCTAATACTAAATATATAGTATGTAATTATATTGGGAATTGAAATTTTAAAGGGTAACTATTTGGAATTGGATAGAATAAGTAATATTCTATCAATACAATTATATAAATACAATCGTTCACTTTTTATAACGATAAACATTGTGTTTTTTAATTTTTATAGAAAATTATTTTTATTTTTATATCATCTTGGGCCATGTTGGTTGACCGATGTTAACCATTGATCAACTAAAACCATTATCCAAAACAATATTAACCGCTACCCAATGATTATCAAAATACATTAACTGATTGTAATGGTTATGATTCGGTTTTGACCAATAACCGAACCAAACAATCTCATACATATCCCCAAACAATATAATATGAAGCTGAAAGTAAATGAAAGCAGTGATAGCAATAAAAGGTTTTTGGTCCTCTTCATTAGCTTGTATACATTTAACACTAATCAAATCAATTATGATTTTGTTAAATCAACATCTTTTAGTCTTTTATATTTAATTTTCCGGTGAGGGTTGTGACGGATTAAATGGCGGTCTCGACGAAGAAGACTTGATGGTAAAAATTGGGAAATGAAGTGGGGTGAGAGGATGTTGGACAATAAGGAATCTAAGATTCAAACTTATGGATGTCTAATTGCGAGGTATCAAATTTATGGGTTGAAAATTTTTTATTATATGGTTGGGTTGTTAATAATATAGTTTAAGGTAAATACTGTTTTAACATTAATACCAAGACCAAACGAAATTTAAAAATACTAATATATATATATATATATATATATATATATATATATATATATATATATATATATCTGAAAATATTCATTCCCTGGTGCAATGACAAAATCAATGTTAATTTTAATGTTACTTTAATAGAAAATATGTCCTTGGATATATTAATGTTTATTTTTACGCTAAAAAATAATTACTCTTTATATTGTGCAAATCATTCTTTAGTCTATCTTATATTTTACAAATTGAAGGGATCAAAAATCAAAACAATATTTACTTAATACTAGATTGTTATTTAGCATGTAAAATTGAGATATACTGTAGTAGTTCGACATGTTTTGTATTTATCTTATATTTTCGTATTACATTTTTATAAACTTATGGGTGAGGATCCAAATTAATATATCAAACTTTAAAAAAATAAATAAATAAAAACAAGAACCTATTATAAAGCAAAACTTCATAAATGGTCCTTGTGGTATCCCGAAATCTAAGATATAATCTCTAATTTCAAAAAATCTCATAGATGGATATTATGATTTCAAAACTTTTAACAAAGAGTCTTTTACCTATATAAATAGACTATTATTCCTTTTCTATTTCTTTTTAGAGTTAATTTTACCTAATCTTATTTAAAGAAATAGAAAAACAAAATAAATAATTCATTGGACCCATATCTCTCTCTCTCTCTCTCTCTCTCTCTCATATCGGTAAGTTCACAAAATCATTTGTGTTTCACTTGTATCCCCCTGAAAACATTAAAAACCATAAAAGCGTAAGGGTATAAACTCACTGTTGATTGCGTCAAAGTGTCGGACTGCGAAACTGGAATTGAGGACCCTCAAGTTGTACGCGAAATTAACGAAATCCTATAAATAATTAAACACATGTTTATATCTACAATTAGCGATTTTGTTAGATAAAGTGTTAGAAAAACACTTGTTTTCGGTTTAGAAATGTTATTGGGAAAAGTGGGTTTTCAGCCACGATTCACGGTTTAGGGAAGGTTTGCGGCCGTGAAGGGGATTACGGTCGTGAACTGTTCTCGGTCGTGATCTGATATCGGCCGTCAACGATTCACTGCCCTTGATGGGTTCATGGTCTTTGAAGGTTTGAAGGGTTCACGGCCCGACTTATGAAGATCTGAGGGGTTCACGGCCGTGAACTCAAGAACACGATGCTTAAATCGATGAAAAGTGGTTGTTTGATGATCCAAAAACGTGTTCTAAGGCGGTTAGAGTGATAAATGAAGAGAAAACTTGTGAAATCTTGAGTTTTCGTGTAACTATGTCGCTTTATATTTTTTTTAGGAAACACGCGTTTTTAGGGGGGGGAAATGAAATCCAAAAAATTAACCACCGCCTATTCATCCAAAAATTCCCCGCCTCTTCGAATTTGGGCCTTTGTCTTCATCCACAGCTTCCTCAATTCCTCGATCCATCACCTCCACCAAAAACCTACTTCTCGGTTCCAACAATTTCTTACACTCTTAATTCAACCCTAATGAGCTGAGGATTTAGGGTTCTTACCTCCCAGTTATCAATTTGAGCCGATGATTTAGGGTTCCTAAATCCGACCCTAATTTTTTCTATTTCACTCTCGTATTTCCATCTCATCCCTCTCGCCTGGTTCAAAACACGTAAGGGGCAACGAACACACTATTTATTTGCATATTTTGGTCTTCACCAAGATCTGGTTTCCATGTAAGCTTTTTGTTTCGAGCCCAAACCATCCTCACGCGATGTCATCAGCTTCTCTTACTTATGAATCTACACTCGGTGTTTCTTTGTCTAGAAGCACCACTCCCGAACCTCAAATCGTGGCTACGCTCCATCATCACCACACGCAGCTCGGTTCTGGATTTGTTAGGGCTTGTTTCATCCATTCATTGCCTCCCTACCACAAGCGATCTTATAACTCTGCAAAATCGACCTCCTTCAATCATCTTTTCTATATCTTCATATGGTAAGAGCTTCAAGATTTATCTCTTTCCAAATTAGTGATTTCTTTTGTTTTTACTTGATTACCGAGTTTGTTCTTGCTCGATCTTCGCATGTTTCCTGGAATTTTTCCTGTTAATCGCTTTATTTTCCACAAAGATACAAGCTCTTCAGATACTCTGGTCAAAGACATCACTGGCTCCCCTCCCGGTCGCTGCGGTCGGTCTTCCTTCTCCTCGCCGTCGTCGCCACTGCTTCCTCTACCCTCGCCGGCGTCAAACCTTTTTTTTCCTTGCCAACGTCTTTTTCTTCCTTCCCGTCGCTGACATCCTGAACTCGTTTGGTAAGAGTTTAAGGTTAGGGTTCTTAATTTTTTGAGTTACATCTTACTGGGATTTCTTCGATTTTGTGTTTTAATTTCATTCGAATCATCTTTATCTTCCATAACATTAAAGGTCTTTTTACATCCCCACCCGTTAATTTTTTTGATTTAATTATATAAATGTTTTTCATGGTGATTTTGTCATTCTTTTCAGTTTGAAGAGGTTGTTTATAAAGTCAAAATTGAAGGTTCAAGAGTCGGATCTACCACATGTTTGATAAAGTGATCTTGCTCTCTGAAGGCACATAGATTTACTATGGTTCTGCTTCCACAGCTTTGGACTATTTTTCTTCAATTGGATTTTCCATGTTTGTTTGATAAAATAGTTTCTCTGCTTCAACAGATCTGCAATTTCAAACTTCTTACGCTTAACTTGGACATTATTTGAGGTATTATATTGGTCATTGATGTTGTTTATCATGTGCTTCTTTCAAAGAGTTTTTATCTCAACTATGGAAATACACTTGTATATTTGTAAGATTAAAACAAAACAAGGCTACTTCCTTTTTCACAAAACGGTGTGTATGTGTGTGTGTGGGTATATATATATATATATATATATATATATATATATATATATATATATATATATATATATATAAACAGTGTTTGCATTTGGTTGCTTTGTTGAAGATGAAGTAACCCACCACACCACACACATGTTGGCATGAGCTATCATGAGGGTATTTTAGGAATAAATTCTTTTATGTAAATTCCTTGATTATAGGAGTAGATTAGCCTCTGTCCTTTTTTAGCTTCTTATGCTCCTGTATAAAGTATTTCCTTCCTGTTATGAATTGATGAGAAATGACATACAAAAATACACTTTTTATCATGGTATCAGAGAGGCTTTGACTTGCCCTAGAAACTTAACCAAGCACTCCATTATACAACATCTGTTAAACCTCACCAGGTACCTCCTTTTTCATAAGACATACATACTTAGTTATAACTCTAAGCTTTGGTGGTCACATAGATTTTTGGTGCATAATTGTTTTGATGTCTACATGTCTCAGATTTTGATTATGTTCTTGCGTTTGTTCATCTAAATACATAATTTACACTTAACATTCATGGGTTCAAGATTTT